TGGCCCCTTCAGCATCCTGTGGGCCAAAAGCTGGCCCGAGGCTAGACCTAGACAGCAAGTCTAGCCAAGCAACCAGCTTTTGGCCCACAGGATGCTGACAGGGGGGCTGGGGAGAGCTGTGTTGGGGAAGATGGGCCTCCGCCTCCCCACCAACACTTCAAATCTTCCCCTCTCTTAACTTTGTCCCCACCCAACCGCAGAGACCTCCACAAAATCTACTGTGAAAGGCCTCATACTCTTCCCCCAGCCGAGCACTTTTTGTCGGGTGGCAACTCGTGTTCTGCTTGTGTTAACATCACCTGGGTATTTGCCTGTTCACCTGTTTACCATCTGTCCAGGACTGGCACAAGGTTGGGTCGCCGAGGGCACTCGCTCTTGGAGTCACACAAGTGCGGGGCCTGTGTCTATGTCCCCCACGATGCTGTGAGCCTATGGAGTTAGGGATAACATCTGCTGAATGCATCATTGGTGCCAAGAACTCTATAGGTGTTCAGTTAGTAACTAGTTTGTTGGGCATATGGTCTCCAAGGGGTTGGTTGACTGTACCTGTCAAAGCAAACACTGAGAAGTGTGGCTAAGTCTAGTCCTCACAATCTCAGGGCCCAGATAGGCTGGGTGGGGGAGCTGGGGGAGAGGGCTGAGGGGGTGCCAAGGGTAGGCTGTGCTCCTAGCTCAGCAAGTGGGCTTCTTGCTTCCTCTTTTATTCATCTAGATTCTGGTTTCGAGGCTCAGGAATGCTGACTGTGTATGTGGGAGGCAGAACAGGGCCAGAGGGCTCCCACAGGCCTTGGTCCCCCCAGGAGATCAGGGACTGGCCAGTAAGAAGGGATCCAGGAGGCCAGGCTGTGTCTGTTCTGGTTCCCCCAGTCCCAGCACAGGGCCCGCAGGACACACAGAAAGTGCCCAGAATAAATACCTTCGAATTGTCATGGAGAAGCCTGAAGAAGACGAGGACTAACCTCGGAGAGCGGGCAGGTGATGAGCTCGCTTGTCAAAGGGGACAGGGCGGGAGACAGTCTGCAATTAAAAATATATGAAAAGGGACACCTGGATGGCTCAGTCAGTTAAGCATCTTCCTTTGGCTCAGGTCATGATTCTGGGTCCTGGGATCGAGTCCCACATCGGACTTTTTGCTCAGCCAGGAGTCTGCCTCTCCCTTTGCCCCTGTCCACTGCGTGTGCTCACAATCGCAAATAAATAAATAAAATCTAAAAAATATATATATATATATGAAAGGAAACATAGACTTTTTTGTTCAAATTCTGAAGCCCAAGCTAAGCTCAAGATGGGTACTTGCACATAAAAGGCATTTAACGATGGGGAGAAAACAGGATCCAGGAAAGCTTACGAAACTGTGCAGGAATAGAGTCCTTTTTCAGCCCTTAAGCGTTCAGCATAACAAGAACCACCCCCCCGGGGGGGGCAGGCATGTGTCTGTGAATCTCAAACTGATTTGGTGTTGGGGGACGTGGCTTCCTTCTGTTTGGCCTGAGGCACCCAGTTAGATAGCCCGCGGGTCTCCAGGAACCCGTGAGTCACAGTCAGCTAGGAGTGTGAGTGACGCATCTGGGGAGGTTTCCCAAGAAGTGGTGGAGGAAATCTCTTTGGTCCTCCACACCTGGAAAGGCCTCTGAAGACAGGGCTCTTTCTCTCTTTTCCTTTGACTGGGCGGTAGATTCGATCAGCTCTGCAGCCCACACAGGACCGGGGATCACTTTGTGAAAACAAGTTGCCCACTTCCTACAGGTAGAGAGACACGAGCTGCGGGGGCAGGGGTGGGGATGAGTAAGGATGAAAGGGAGGGGGTGGTGGAGGAGCCCCCTCTTCCTTTGAACTTGTGCTGCTGGGTGCTGCACCTGCAGGCTGGCACCCAGAATTGGCTACCTTTGCTTCCCGCTGAGAAGAGGGCCGGCTGGGGGAAGCAGCACTGGTCTCAGACCCTCCTATCTGCATGCCCCACAGTAAAGCAGAGAGACCGAGACTGCTGCTGCACAGGAGGGAACTGAGGCCCGCAGATGTTACAGGAGCTTGCTCACGTTTGCACGACTGGAGTCTTAGGCCCTGCTGTCCGGCAGCTCCCACACGCGTCACCTGATTTCCATTGCTCAGATTTTTAAAAAATCATGACTTATGAACAAATCTCTCATTGATGGCTACTGGAGCGGATTCCAATTTTTTAATATTACGACGATCAGAGCCTCTTTTTAAAAAGAGACTGTTTCTTTTTTTCCAAATTATTTTTACCCCCAATTATAAAAGTCACACGATTGCTGTAAAAATTCACACAACACAGAAATGTACAAGGCAGAAGTGGAAATTCCCCAGAGTGACTACCATTAACAGCTTGGAGTATACCCTTCCGGACCTTCTTCTATGCATACACAAATATGTCTAGAGGCATTGATATATTATTAGAGAAAAAAAAATCAAATTTGCAGAATAATAAGATTTGATTTTTTTATATTCTATATCTTAAGTATTACATATTACATTTTATAAGATTTCGACTTCTGTTTAAAAGAACACATGCAGGAAAAATCTGGAAGGACAAGAAAATTTTAATGCCAATTTTGCATATTTCCGCAATGTTCTGTACTTAGATATACAAAACATGTCTTTGTTGGAGTTTAATCTCTATTTCCATTCGTACATATGAGAGTTGGCATATCATGAGCATACAGCTCAGTGATTTCCACAAACTGAACACACGCGTGGAAGCAGCCCCCAGAGAGGGGACAGGACACAGCACCCCCCAAACTTCATACTCCCTCCTACTGAGCAACCCTGCAATAAGGGTAACCGTATCCTGACTTTAATGTGTATTTGCTTTGCCTGTTTTTACTGTGCTTAAATTTAATGGTGGCCATATATTGCATTTAAAATGAGGATAATCAATACAGATGTTCAAGCATATGCAGGTGTAGTGACCATCATGGGAAGCCAGGATGCATGGGTCTCACTCATTCCCTAACAGCTGCATGGATTCCCTTGTATCACAACTGATCTTTTTCTTTCTTTCTTTCTTTTTCTTTTATTGATCTTTTTCTGATGGACATTTGGATTACTTCCAATTTTTGGCTAATAAGTAGGACGACAAAAACCAATCTGATGGGTATTTGTCCATGTAACTTTGAGATGTGTGTGTGTGTGTGTGTGTGTGTGTGTTAAAGATAATTGCCTAGAGGTGAAATTACTAGTCAAAAAATAGCTAGGTTTAAAAATTCTTTAAAAAAATATTTTGCCATGATGGACCTCCAGAAAGTAGTAGATGCTCAGTTCCTTCTTCAAAACAAAAGTCAGGTGCCGGGTGCAGACCTCTTCACCGCAGCCCCTGTTGCTGGCAGCCAAGCCTGCTCCAGCTCTCTGGGCAGACCAAGCTGTAGCAGGTGCCTGCGGCACAGAAAAGAGACGGAGGTGCGCCCCCCTTGCCCCCCTTCCCCGGCCCTGGTCTCCCAACCTTACCCCCATGTGAATCTGCAAACAACTAAACACGATCGCAAAGACAGCAATGGGGAGATGCTGCTATATAGCTGAGACAGAAGTGGGGAAAGGGGCCTGGATACCTGTTCTTACTTCCGCTGTGGCCTGGGTGTGAGCCTGTAGGGAAGGCAGGCTGCACCTCTGGGCTTAGTTTTTATTTTTATTTTATTTATTTATATTAAATAAATGTGTGTGGGACAGAGAGAGGAAGCCAGCATGAGCAGGGGGAGGGGCAGGAACAGGGGCAGGGAGAAGCCGACTCCCTGCTGAGCAGGGGGTGGGCTCTTGGGCTCCATCCTAGGACTCAGGATCATGACCTGAGTTGAAGGCAGATGCTTAACCGACTGAGCCGCCCAGACACCCGGGGGCTTTAGTCTCTTATCACTAAATGGGATGTCTCAGAGCAAGAAGCCCACCTTAAACATGAACCTGAGAGGAGTCTGGCCCGGGCCGCCTGGGCTCCTTCCCCTCTCCCTGGGAACCTGGCAGTCAGCTTGTCCGGTCGTCCTCAGAGCTGATGGGCAGAGAGCATTTGCTTTTCTCAAGAACCTCTTACACCAACACCTTCTAACTCCCACCCACCACGCCTAGTTCTGCACCCTTCACTCCACAGACAGCATCTCAGATGCCCCCTCCCCTCGACCCATCCTTCCTTTCCTGTTTTCTGTGTCTGCCAGAGCTTCTGAGCAGAGCTTGGTTTGCCACTGCCCTTCATCAAGGGCCCCTCCCAGCAGACCAGGAAAAGCAGGTGGGGCTCTGTTCTCCCTTGGCCCAGTGCTTCTGTTAACTCAGCCTAAGGCTGCACTCATTTTTGGCTCAGTAGCTTTTATACTGTGAAAGCCCAGGGTGGGGAACTAAGATCAGGTCCCCACCCCAGGCTTTTTCAGAAGGCACGAGATCCTCGTCTCAACTTCCTCTTCCAGCTCAGCATTTTCCCCTAGCATTTGCTTTCCCCATCAAAGCTGAGAGAGAGACCCTATGCCTCTCACCTTTTCTTTAGTACAAGGTCAGCAGTCTGTGGCTAGGACTCCCTGGGGTTCCACTCAGTAGAGCCAAACAGGTATAGTGAAGGTGGCTTGGAACGGCCAGAAGTCAGCTCTGGGGCCCCTACTGCTTGGCGCTGGGTGCTGGGGTGCTTCCCAACCTGTGAGACTCTCCCTGAGCCTACAACACAGATGACAGCATGTTGCAGGGGCAAATGAGGACAGGCACATTTTATCCTTGTTATTTCTTTTCAGCTGAGCATCAACATCTTTACCGTACAGATGGGCTTTGTGCTTTTCCATCACAGGACCCATTTGCATCTTTTATTCAGGGCTTTATTTTTACAACCAAGACATTTTCATAAAAAGAACAGAAAGTGACAGAGAAAGTTACAAGCCATGGGAAGGCAGAAGTGAAAGCGGGGTAAATTCCCAATAGGAGATAAAGTGACTTCCCATTCTCAGAGCCACAAGTCCTCAGACCCAAAAGGATGTCCCTGGAGGCTGAAGTAACCGCAGGAGTCAGGCCTGCCTTTCACAGAAAGCTGGTTTCCAAGCTGGGGCTGGTCTCTGGGGCTCTCCATGAGGACAGTCAGCTCCAGCCTGGGAAGACCAAGGAGGAGCCATCCTGGGCCATCCCATGAGAGACTCAGGACTCCATGTCACTGCCCTTTCGGGGCAAAGCAACTGGCGAGAAGGGGGCTGGACGGCCAACACAAAGGTCCCAGCCTAACCCAGGGGAGTTCGGGAGCTGGAAGTGGTGTCATGGCGGCATTTTCTACTCCATCCTCCAGTGTGCACCCCCCTCCGAGTTGCAGGAAGCTTTTGGGGGGCTCTGAAGCCTTCTCTCTGTGACTCCCGATGACCAACTAACAAGTTGCTCCCATGTGTGAGGCCCAGAGAGAGCACTTGGAATAGTTAAAAGCAGGCAACTTCAGCAGGTCAGTGAAATTTCCACAGTGGAGTGAGTTGAACGTGGCCCTTCTCTCTCATTTTTCTAGATCTTGCTTCTTATTGACCAATGCATTTTTGTAGCAGGACCCCAAAAGCGTATTTTTTGCTCATTTATAAAACCTGAAAACAAGAGCAAGTTGAGACACCACTTATTTTTAGGGAAATGATATGCATTTCCTGTAACAAAGACAAATGACAGGTGAGGATCCAGGGCTGTATTTCCAGTAAGGAGCCCGGGCCAGGAGTTTTCCATTAGTCTGCTCTTAGGGTCCTACTTAGTCATTAAAAAAAATTTTAAGAAGTTCAAAAAACAAAGCCCAAAGCCCTCTAGCTTTGAATAGTGTTACTTCCTGCAGGACCTTCTAAGAGAAGCTAGTCACAAATGTACACTAAGGGGCCAGAAGAAGATGGCTTGCTGATGGGAAGATTTTCCAGACTCAGCTTCGGGCTGGGGAGCGTCTGCCCCAAATCGAAGTTTGAGTTCAAAAGAGCTGATCTGTGGGGCCCATGGACCCTTTCTCCCACACCTGGATCATGGTAACAAAACTATACGTGGTTTCCAAACTTTATTTTAGCCACAAACCCTTTTGTTCAAATGATTTCTCTTAGGCAAGTGTAACTACAGGTGGCCCATGCGGCAGTACTGTGAGCAGAGGGTGAGGGAGCTTGCAGCCCCCCATGACCACCCCCAGCTCCTTCCCCACCTCGGCGGATCCTCAGCACCCCTGGGTTTGCCAGAGCATGAGATCCCATAAAACTGGCATCAAATCACCAGGGAACAAGTTAAAATAAAGGGCTGAGCAGGGGCAGTACCCTGATGGGGATTCATTCTCCATTAGACGTCGCCATGGGGAAGATGCTGAACAGAATATTCTGCAGATCCAGGCTCAGACAAATACACTCAGGTTACCGTCTCTTAGGTAGGGGATTCTAAGTCCAGCACATCAAATTGTGGGAAGGGTGCACCATCAAAGTTATCATTGAAAATTGCCCATAAAAGACAGCAGGCATGTTTCAGTGACTATCTCTAGTCAAGCAAATATATAGACAAGTAATAATGTATATAATAATGCAGAGAATATAATACAGAGTTTATATGGAGTTTAAGTTTTAAGTAATTAGGAAGACATTTTTGTTCCTTGGTAGAACTGACTTTCATCAGAGACATGAGTTTTGTGCTCTGACTTCACGGGACCAGGGCTGGGCGCAGGTACAGTTATCCTGTTTTACAGGTGAGGAATCTGAGGCTCAGATGGCTTAAGCCACTCGCCCACGGTCCCATGGTTGGTGAGTGACAGATAGGATTCGAACCCCCAAGCCCAAGCCAGAGCTCATGAGCACCAGGCCTTGTTGCCTTCTTCAATCTAGAGGCATGATGGGCTTTCTTTTTTTCCTTCCGAACACCTCTAGATGGAAGGGACTGTCATTAATGAGAGAGGTAGATGTGAAACAGTCTTTTGAGGAAGAAAATGTAATCCAAGAATAGTGCCCATGGCTGGGCTGAGGCCTGGCAGTCCCTTAGGCTGGGAGCAGCCTCTGGCCATCGGCCTCTCAAGGTGTCAGCCTCTGGGGGCTCTGCCTGCACTCACACAGCTCAGGGACCTGAAGAACTAGTGCTTTTTAGCTCCCATGTCTGTGTGACTCAGCTTTTCATTCTGCCAACTCTGGGGACCCAGGCTGCCCGACGCCCCACACCAGTAAGGAAGGAAGCAGTGAACTGCCTTGGCCTCCAATCCAGTCCTGCTCTTTCCTAACCCAAATGCTCTGAGCAAGTCGTTCAACTGGTCTGTAACAGTAACCCTCCTATGTCCTTGCAGGACCAAGTCAAATAAAATGCTGGGTGGGCAAGGGTTTGGGGTATCCTCCTGCATTCTATGCTTGCAAGAGTTGACTGTGATCATTTCTAAGAGCTAAGTCCATGCTTGAAATACCCAGTATGTTCATTTGTTTAGATGATCTCTCCTCCTGAACTCTATGGCTCCCTCTATTTATACAGTCTAAGATTTTTTGCAGGGGGGGGTCTCTCTTTGGCTCCTGCAGGTAGAGGCTGTGGCAGCAGCAGGGGCCGATACCATACCCAGGGCCGCATCATTGGCACTTTTCTGGGGCCCTAAGCACTTACTGTTTCAGGAGACGAAGCCGGGCTCTCCTCCGCAGGCCTGGAAGAAGAAGAAAACAAGGACGCAGGTTGGTGTGGGCTGTGGGGTGCTGACACCCAGCCTCAGAGAGCGAGGAGGGAGATGAGGGGGGAAAACAGCACCTCAGACCTCTTTCCTGGCGTCAGGCTCACAGCAAACCCGTGACGATTCCTCTTAGTATCTCCATTGGGTATACGGGGAAACTGAGTCCCAGAGCATGCATGGCACAGAGTTGTGCAGCTAGTAAGCAGTAAAGCTAGAATTCGAACTCAGTGAATCTACTCTGGTCTGTGTGCCCTTAAACATGCCAGTTTGTCCTTCGCAGCAGGTCGGGAATGGAGAGCTGTGCAGACAGGTGGTCTCGAGCTAGAGGAATCACAACGTTTCCCACAGGGATGCGGGAAAGAAGTGTGGGCATGTCTATCTACAGGTCTATCTCATCTTTTATTACTTTTCAGTTATGAAACACATTTAATAACATACTTACTATATGAAATAAATGCACCTATTTGCAGTTAGAGTTTAAGAGTTACCTTTCGATCTATCTGCAGCTGGGGTTCATAATTTAACAAGTTTTTATTAACAAGATCCTTGATGGGAAAGGTTTGCAGACCACTGAACTTTAATGGGGACAAATGGATCCTTCCGTGAATGGCAATGTTATGTAAAAATGTTCACGTGACACATTTCTTTGGGGAGAGGGTCTGTAATTGCTATCACAAGTTTAAAGGGGTCTATGACCTATAAAAGAGTCACTGATCAAGTCCATGCCCCTGCGAGCCACCCTCCCCTATTTTATAGAAGCCCAGAGAGGGTCAGTGAGGTGCTCATGGTGACACAGTTGAGCAGAAAGGCCAGGGGTAGGGTCCGGGGCTCTTGGGCTGCCGTGTGGGCTTTCCCTGCAGCTCCCCACTTTTCTGCTAAAGCCTGGGAGCCCAGAGCAGGAGATGATCTCGTCTTCAGAGTGGCTGAGAGACAGTCATCTTCAGTCTCCCGGCAGTCTCACAAAGGAGGAAGAGTTCGAGCTTCTGGGAACATAACCCAAACCCCAGTGCCATGTCTTCTGTGTTCTGATTCCATCCAGAGTGCTCATGGGAGTTCCCACTGACTGAGCTCATACCCCAGGTTCGGACCTCTGGGCAGGACTTTACCAACAGCAACCCTGGGAGATGGGTAACATTGTTACTCCTGAATGGAGTGGCCGAGGCTGAGAGGCCAAGGCACGCGCCCAAGGCCCCTAGATCGGCAAATAGTGGGGTTAGCTTCAAGCCCAGGTCTGACTCTAGACCTTCAAGCCCAGGTCTGACTGCATGGTCTCTGGTCCCTGCAGCGTGGCATCAGGCCACAAATCACCTCCGTGGCTTCCATGGGTTGGGGGTGAGTATAAACTTCTGCCACCTGTCCTGCTTCCCTAGAGAAGGACGGACGCTCAGGGACTCAAAAGCAGCCACCACGGTGGTCCAAGAGGGCACAACTTACGGTGTAGGTGGATGGCCACTCCCAAGGACACCAGCAGAAGCAGGACTCCGGCCACCAAGAGGCCGAGGGTGACGGGGCCACAGGATGGGCCTGGAAAAGACACACTTACTGAACATCTGAGGCAACACATAAAAATACAAAGAGGGAAAATCAACCGGAAATCCCACCTCCCAGGGAATGCCACTGTTTGCATATTTTTCTCGTCTTTCTTTCTAGGTACTTGAAACACAGAGATAATTTTACACGGAAAATGTTATGTCCCACATCACCCTTTTAAAAATTAATTAAGCTCAGGAGCTACTTACGTTCAAAGGAGATAATTTTCATGCCTGGTAAAGAGATTTTCCTATTTATTTTTAAAGCTCTTATTTTAACTACACAAGAGACAGCTGAATATATTTTCATTGTAAAGGATTCGAGTATATGGTTAGAGAGCTCCTTGGCAAACTAGCCCCCTCACAGGAAAAAAAAAAATGTTATGGTTAATTTGGTACCTTTCTCTTTGTGTTTACACATGCATAATTTACACAGACACATACAGGTTTTTTTTAAAGCACACAGTGGCTTATATTGTACAAACTGTTTGGCAAACCATTTTTTTCTTCACTTAAATAGATTGGGGGCCCCCCGGGTGGGGCAGTCAGTTGAGTGTCTGACTCTTGGTTTCGGCTCAAGTTGCGGTCATGACAATGAGCCCCGCAGCAGGCTCTATGCTCAGCGCAGAGCCTGCTGGAGACGCTCTCTCCCTCTTGCTCTGCCCCTCCCCCCCCTTGATCTGCCCCTCCCCCCACCTCTCTCTAAAATAAATAAGGAAAATCTTTTTAAATAATACCTCAGCACACACTTTTTCTAGCAGAGTAACCTTTGCAGTTTGGACGTATCACGGATTACTTGGCCCTCGGATGGGCATTTTGTTTGCTTCCTATGTTTTGCTTTTACAAATAACCCCAGAGAAGCTCCTGGTACATTCTTCCTAAAGTAGGAGCCTGCCCGAGGCAGATACTGAAAACAGGAATGGCCAAACCATTGCTTATGTCCACCTATAAGTTGCCAGACCCTGTGAAGTGCCTTCCAAAAAGCCAGCACTGATTTGCCCTCCTAACCACCAGCTGTCCACCTGGCCGACCCTCGATATTATCAAAGTGTTTGGTTTTTGCTAGTGTCATGGATTAACATGATGCGTAACTTCCAGTCCTTGACGATTCATCAGCGTCACCCTATTTTCATGTACTGGCCACTTGTAGGATCTGGCCTGGCCTTTCTTGCCTTGCTCGGTTTTCACAGTCCCCTGAAGCCTAGAGGTCACCAGCTGTTCCTCTCCGTGTCATCTCAAGGGACAGCCCGAAGCCTTCTGGAGCAGGGTCTTCTCCAGTGTGGCCATATGGTTTCATTCATTATGACAAACTTTGAGCTCCAGCTGGGTGCCCCCCTCAAGATGAGTGCCTTACGTACAACACCTCATTCAATCATGCCAGGCAAACATCCTGATGAGGAAAGAGGTTCAGAGAGGCTGAGTCACCTGCCCAAGAGCACACAGTACAGACAGTGGCAGACAGGGACTCACACCTAAGTCTGGTTGACTTACCACTGGGGTACCCTGTCCCACGGCCCCCATCCCCAAAAGCAACCCCCACCTACTTCTCTCCCAGCCCCCCCTTGGCCACCTTCACACTCATCCTGGTTATTCTTAATAACCTACTAATGCTGGACTTGCATATTTGCCCTGGGACTTAACTGAGGATCCATGTAAGAAATGATGCAAGAACTTCAAAGACCTTTGTCTTTATCACTTACAGAAGTGTTTTTTTTTTAAAGATTTTATTTACTTATTTGACAAAGAGAGAGAGAGATCACAAGTAGGCAGAGAGGCAGGCAGAGAGAGAGGCGGAAGCAGGCTCCCTGCTGAGCAGAGAGCCAAATGCAAGGCTTGATCCCAGGACCCTGAGACCATGACCTGAGCTGAAGACAGATGCTTAACCCACTGAGCCACCCAGGTGCCCCAACAGAAGTGTTAGAGAATTCAGTATTGCTCAGCAGTCCTTGGAGAAGGATGAACAGAGCGGCTTTCCTCTAGAATTTAACCCTGGGATGAAGGCTCTGGAACCCAGTGCCTGGGGTAGTTTCTTCATGCCGCCGTAGGGGAGCAGGGGTTTGTGCAAGTTATCTGGTTTTGTGCAAGTGTTCCCTCTGGTGCAGCTGGCTTCCCCGCTTCTCTAGAGTCACCCTCAACTTCGTGGCCCTGCTGTGTTTGCCTTTGTGTCGTTTTCTGTTGTGAACTACCCGAAATCCTTTAGGCAAAGTTGTGGGGCATAGATGCTTTCTCCAATGAGGTCATTCTATCTCCACCTTTATGCTCCCCAAGACTGTGCCCTTCTGTGTCCAGGTTCTGACTTCCTTTATTACTGTGACCCTGTGGGGTGGCTTCCTGCGCTCATCGCCTGAATCCCACTAGATGCCTGTCCTCGGGCTCCTTCTGTTACTTGACGTATTTAAGACTAAGAAACCCCAGGAGCGCCAGGCTGCTCTAGTGTGGTGGCTTCCCTGCCATTCGTCCTATGGGTAGGAGCAGATGACACCTTCTTTTTGTCATCAGTATCTTTTGCGGGGCAGAGGTAAGTATTTTTCCAGAAACACAGTTGGGCTGATGGTTCAAGGGAAGTGTGTGCATGCGTGTGTGTGTGTGTGTGTGCACGTGTGCGCATGCACGCGCTCCATCTGCCGTGTCTGGTGCTTATAGCACAGACACACAAGCTTGTTCACTCATTAACAAACATATATTAACACGTGCTGTGTGTTGGGTCCTCTGGTAAGCATCCGAACTGAGAAAGTTTGAAGTTCTGGTCCTTTGGGTTCGGTACTTTTGTTTGCTAACAGCTTTACTGAGATGGACTTTACATATAAAGTTTGCCTGCTCCAAGTGTGTAATTTAATGGTTTTTGGTATATTCACAGAGTTGTGCAACCATCAGTCGCCACAATCTAATTTTAGAACATTTTCATCTCACCCTCCAAAAAATCCGGGACCCTTTCATGATCACTCCCCATTCCTTTCCAACCCCCCAGTTTTAGACAACCACTAACCTACTTTCTGTCTCTTTGAAACGTCATATTCTGGAATCCCATAATACAGGATCTTTTGCATCTGGCTTCTTTCACTGCGTAATATTTTCAAGGTTCATCCATCCTGCCGCTTGCATCAGTAATGCACTGTCTATTATGGCCAAATATTACTCCATTGTATGGATATTCAAAATTTAATTAATCTATTCATCAGCTGGTGGACTTCTGAGTTTTGACTTTTTGACCATTATGAATAATGCTGCTAAGAATATGGTGTGCGGGTTTTTGGGGGGACATAGGCTTTGCCCTGTGATGATTTGTAAGCGTGTCCCCTACTAGACTGTGAGCTGCTGGAGGGCAGCACTGTGGTCATACTCGACTTCCCTTCTGAGCCCAGCTTGGCTGGAGCCAGGGAAACGGGCCAGAGTCCACACATGGGAAGGGCCTATGGAAGGAAGGAAAGAAGGAGGGAAGGAAGGAAGGCAGGCATCCTGCTGTGCTTCTGATGGTCCAGGAAGATGGGAGAACTCACCCTTCTGGGTCACTGGGCTTGGGGGCCGGCACCTTTTCTTCGTGGTGGTCTTCTTGGTGGGCTGGGCAGTGGTGGGAAGGACATCAACTACAGAAAGTAAGCAAGACACATGTTAAAATCTCATGTCTTCCCTCCAGGTGCTAAAGCCCCTGTGACTGTTCCCTGGGCTGCTACAGGGCTCCAAGCTTACAGAGCAATAGAATTTTCTAGGTGTTTCCCCAACTCTCAGACCTATCTGAGAGCCTAGGCAGGGGGCTGCCTTGGTGTCCAGGAAAGAGAGGGGCTCTGCACCTACATGGTCCTGAACAAAGCCCCAGCAGCCCTGATTAACTGCTGTGTGACTTGGGGCAACTCCTACCACTTTTCTGTGCCTCAGTTTCCCCATCTGTTGAAATAAAGATGACTCCCATTTCCTTCTCGGGAGTGTCATGAGAATTAAAGAGGACAGCAGGCCCAGTGAATTGTGCTCCCCGTGGCCACAGCAGACTTCCCCTGGCTGAAGACCTTGAGGGGAAGCCAGAGTCCCCGAAACCTTGACAAGACCAGCCCCTCAGCCAACCTGCCAATTCCTAAGTGGTTGGAGGAAGCTCATAGAATGGAAGTGGGTGACCTTTCCCATATGTACAACACTGGACAGGCTGCAGTGGGGATTATCTTTCCTTAATAAGTGTCTTTACAAATCATCTACTACCGGAGCTGGAAGGACCTCTAGTCTCAACCTTTAATTTCAAAGATGAACAGCAGCGATGTGAGGGGCTGGCCCTGAGGCCCCACATTGCAAAGAGCTTGCCTGAACCCCCGACCCCTCTCCTGACGCTTGAGTGGGCCACTCCTCTCTTTTGTTCTAATCCAGGGTCACACTCTGATGCAATGGGACAGGGCAGGAGGACAAGCACACAGAGCCAAGGGAGGCACTGGAGGCTTTGGGGTGCCAGGAATGGTGTGAGCACTAGATACTGCTGAATCCATCCCTTGTCTCTGGGAGGTGAGCAAAGACGTTTCACTGCCATGACTTTCTGCAAAATGGTAGGAGAGGGAAGATGGTGACCCCATAAATTTAAACTCTAGCATCAAGGCAATAGGGAGGGGCCACCCGCAAAATGGTCATTTCAGGGCTGGCCGATTTCCCATATAAAAAGTGGAGAGTCTGGAACCTCGCTGGCATGAGTGTCCCCCAGAAAGTGGAGATAACACAATCTCCTCTGCTGGCTTTGTGAGGTTTCTGGAAGAACCAGCTCACCAGAATGGACCCCTGCTAAGTCCCACCATGTGCTAGGGGCACAGCCAAGCGCTGCAGCTTATGTTTATTGAAACCAACAACTTTGGGGACAGGCACTAGTACCCCCGTCTTATCCCCAAGGAGGCCTAGGCTCAGAGAACTGAAATAGTGTGTCCAGGAAGCCTTGAACAGCACAGGCAGGATCTGAGCCAAGAGACCCCGACTCTGGGCTCTCACGCCACTGCCCTGCCTCAGGTGCCAGCGCCTTCTGGCAAAAAGTTAGGCACATCAGGTCAAGGCCCTAGGCCATGGGAATGCTGAGGGAAACTAAGGTAAGAGGGAAAAGGACACCAGCTTCGGTGCTCCCAGGCTGTGCGGGAGCCTGGCCCTCTGCCCAGGATGGGCCAGTATGTTTCCTCTGTTCCTCCCCATGGCCCTGGAAGGGTCCGTTCCCTTTACTTCATACACAAGGAGGCACAGAGGTCTCTCGGTCAGTGGGAAGCCTCCAGGGGAGCCGACTCTATAAGGCCTCACATGTCTTGGCTGGGTTCAGGGGCCTGGGTCTGATGAGGGGTTTGTGGGGAGTCTCGTTCCATTTTAATTTCTTCTTGCCCAGAGCTGGGTCCCCTTGATGACTCCTGACTCCCCCTGCCCCCCCATTCAAATCTCCCCACTTCTCTCCTCTTTGAAAAGGAGAGGACTTTTGAGCCCATGGTATGGTTAAGCGGCACCCTAAAGGCCCTATCTTTCTCCAGTTACTTTCTTTACTACTCGAGCTTCGTCCTTCAGTATGTGCTGGCCTCCGGCAGGAGGGGCAAGGTGTGGCTCTGGACACCCTAATTCTGGCCAGATGACGCAGTTGCGGGCACATGCTTTGGGAAGGGTCTGCTATTCTCAGAGAGCTGGGCAGCATGAAGGGTTTGGAAATATCAAAGCCAGGCATGAGTGGGTGGTGGTGTAGGTGGAGGGGAAGCTTCTAGAAACCAGTTTTGTTTATTTCATCATCTACCTTTCTTAGACCCCAAAATCTCATGAGTGGGAAAATGTGGGTAAATTTGTGGGAAAATTTGTAGAGACAAAAACAATAAACTAAACCAAAATCCCAGACCCCCCAAAGCCCAATTTTCAGTATAGGAATCAGTTGACACCCTGCTGAGGATGCCTGGGCTTCTCGCCCCGAGGGCTAACCCTCACCCCTACCTCCTGACTGAAGACCCAAAACTGGTGAGATGGGACAGCAGCTTCCCTCTGTTTCTGTCTTCCTAATTGTGCTGCTGTCGCAGCTGTCCCTGTTTCTTCCCATTCTGAGTGGTCCAATTCTTGGGGGGGGGGTCCCTTGTCATTCTTCAGTCCCCAGCCTGAGAAGAACCCAGGTGAGAGGGAAGCAGGACAGTGGGAGGAGCGCAGGGGGTCAGCCGGCCAGTGGCTAATATGGGGAAGGAGCTAAAGCCAGGTGCAGGCCTTTGAGAATTTCTGCCATGATTCCCTAACATCTCCCAGAGCTTACTCCTCACTGTCCAAGAGTGCGACCACCTGCCCCTGAGTCTCTGGCCAGTCTCACTCAAGGGTTGCGGTGTGTAAGAAACACATCGAACACTTAGTATGCAAAATATTTCAGTAATAATTTTTAAATGGATTACAGGTTAAAATGATGATCTTGTTGATAAATCGGTTAAAAATGTAGTATTTAAATTAATTCTGCTGGTTTCTTTTTACTTTTTTGACATGGCATTAGGAACTTTTAAATCACATCTGTGACTTATCATCTATTTCTGTGGGGTATGCTGGACTTAACTCTCAGAACTGCCGCTTCTTGGGGTTGGAGGGTGTTGTGGAGGCCAATGGCAGCCCCATGAAACAGATGGGAAACCTGAGGCCCAGGGAGAAGAGGTACGAGTGCAAAGGCACACAGTGAAATTACAGCAGAATTTGCAGCTAGGCCTGGGGTCCAATCTCCTTCCTCCATGTACCTCTGGGTGTAGGTTTGAGCCACAGGCCCCCCAATTCAGCATGTAAGAGCATCCGCCGGCCCTAGAAGTGCTCTCACTGGGTATGTCCAAGCAGCGAGAACCTTCTTTCCTGGTGTGCACTCTTGGTGGGAGTTTCTGAGACCACTGTCAGGTTTGGGAGCTCAGCCCAATCTAGGCAGAGCCTCATGTAGGCCTGGTGTGGCTGAAGGACAGCACTGTCTTGTCCCCAGAAGAAACAGCAATGCTTCTAAGCATCCCATCTGCAATAGGTATCCGCTTCTTACCTCCCAGAGTAGAGGGCAATGGGAAGTGAAATGACTCCGTAAAACCCCTGCTTCTGCTTGGCCCTGGGTAAGTGTACTCCTACCAGCTATGGGCTACTGCTCCTGGCGGACACCCTCTCTGGCAGAGTGGGGCTTGCCGAGAGCAGAGGCAGCTCCCTCGCCTGACACGCACCCCGCACCCAACACCCAGCAGGTGTTCCACGCTCATCAGTAGCATTGAGCTAGATTCTTACCCACGCTCAGCTGAGTTCCCTTCCCGAAGTTCAGCTCAGGGTTCCCGATGGTCATGCAGAAGTAGATGCCACTGTCTGCAGGCTCCACTTTAGTTAGATTGAGAATGGACCGGCCTGCATCCGGAAACACAGTCAGCTTCTCTTGCTTCACCTTTTGGCTATACACAATCCCTCTTAGGGAATCCCAGGCGGCCAGGAACTCATGGTGACTGTCTGGGCTTGGAGCCTGGCGTTGTCTCAGCCAGTAGATGCGCGTGCTAGTGCGGGAGGCTGTGGCTTCACAGGACATCACCACTGTCTTGTCAGTCTGAATCATTAAGGATGGCGGGGTCTGCTGCAGCACCGAGCTGCCATGGAGAACTAGGAGAAGCAGAAGGCACAGAGACCATTAGCATGTTTTCCCAGCCACCGCTGTGGGGCTCTGGAGTCACAGAGTCAGGCATTGAAGGAAAGTCATCCCCAGTTGCAGGAGCCAGGGTCTATGATAAATGCCGCTGGTGGCTCCCAGACTCAGAGCTTGAGCACCTACATCCCAGGGGACCATCTGCAAGGCGGGTGTTTCTTATGGCCAGTTTGACCGAGGGGATGGGGAGAGAGCTGCCATGTATTGCTTGCATGCTTATATGCCTGGCTTTTTGTGTGAATGATCTTAATCTAACCTGAAACTTATTTGGGGATTTTTTCCCCCCATGACACAGATGAGGAAACTGAGGCATGGAGTTACTTGTTTAAAGTCCCACCAACAATTAGTAAGTGACCTGGGATTCAAACTCAAAGATTCCAGGTCTGAAGTCAAAGCCAGCTGTCTTTCACCTTGTCCTGCTGCCACTCTCTGGACAGACCTTCACAGGCTCCAAGCAGGTAGAGAAGACTCAGGCAGCCCGGAGGATCCCCAAATAAGAGGCAGAGCCTGGGGACTGGCCTGGCCAATCTAAAAGAGGGCCAGCCACCCTTTCTGTAAGACATGCTCAAGCAAGAGGAACTCACTATTGCCACAGGTGCCACTCAATTCTCAGCCTAGCATGTGCTAGGTCACTGGATCCCCATTCCCAAAGGGAAGGACAGACACCCCAGAACAGTCCTGGGATTTCATTTTAGTCTCAAGATGGGAAGCATCGATGAAGAGGGGATTGTTCATAGAGAACTGGACCAGAACTCCAAGACCCGGTCTTGAACCCAGCTCTGCCCCCTACCAGCAGAGGGATTGTAGGAATTCAAGGAGTCTGCCTCTGCCCTTTAAGATAAGGGAAGCTGGGGGCCAATGTCCTGCTTGCCCGAGAGGGTCAGGACGTCCAAGAAAATGCACTGCAAACTGTAAAGTGCTGTCCATTGGTATATCATTGTCTCCGTGTCCCACACCGAGTTGTTACAGGCAGCAGATGACACTTTAGGAAAGATTTGAATGGATCCTTCACAGCCAAGTCCTACACACTGAATCTGACCTGGTGAGCCTTCCATTTTAGCTGTGGGGGAAAGGGAGAGCCTAAAGACTGGGGCAGAGACCCAGGAACTGCAAGGCATGGAGGGCACAGGAGTCTAGAGGGAGTGTGTGTGTGTGTGTGTGTGTGTGTGTGTGTGAGTGTGTTTGTACCCAAGGGGAGCTGGCCTACTGAGGCAGCGGCCTAGAGTCACGATCCTGCCAATGCTTGTGTCTCAGGCTGATTCATGGTCCCATAGCAGGCCACAAACGTAAGCTTTTTGACTCCACTCACAGGCCACTCCAAGCTTCTGCATGCATCAAGAATGCCATGGTACCTGGTGCCCACGTGTCTGCTGGCCCTTCTCTTTTCTCCCTAAACACCATCCTGCCTTTTCAGCAGAGTAGAGCTTCTTCACTGCTTTGGGGGTCACTGATATCTTGGGGGCGATAATAAGAGACGATGCTGCCCATCTTCACTGAACTGTGCCCAGCGTGGTGCATGCATTATGTCACTTAATCCTCAACAGGTCCTGGTCTACACCCATTTTACACATGAGGAAAGAGAGGCTCAGGCAAGTTAAAAGGACATGCTCAAGGTCACATAGCCCATATGTGGTGGATCCAGATTCAAACCCAGGTCTGCGGCCCCACAACCTGACTTTGAACCACTCCCTGAATCGAGGAGACCTGGGATCCTCTCCTGAGTGGCTAGCCTGTCCCCCTCTGCACACAGTGGGTCTGCAAATACACAGACTCCTGAAATTCCTGCAAGAAAGCCTAGAAGTGACTCCTTTTTTTTTTTTTTAAAGATTATTTATTTATTTATTTGTCAGAGAGAGAGAGAGAGAGAGGGAGAGCGAGCGAGCACAGGCAGACAGAGAGGCAGGCAGAGGCAGAGGGAGAAGCAGGCTGCCTGCGGAGCAAGGAGCCCGATGTGGGACTCAATTCCAGGACGCTGGGATCATGACCTGAGCCGAAGGCAGCTTCTTAACCAACTGAGCCACCCAGGCGTCCCTAGAAGTGACTCCTTAAGGGGTCAAGGGGCCCCAAAAGGACCTGGGGCTCTGTGTGTATGTTCCCCTTCCCGTGTCCTGACACGCAGGCTTGCTAGGTGACATACCCTGGTCTCTCTCTTCTGTCCCCGGAGGCTGAATACGCGGCCATGGCCAAGCCCCGTATCTGTGCCAGACTCGGAGCCGGGCCTCGCTACCCATGCGGTCTCATGGGATTCATCTGACCTCTCCCAGTGATTCCACACTCAGAGGGACCTGCTGTTTCTAAAAAGATCAGTAATAACCACTAGGTTTGAATGGCCTGGACTTGTTTCTACTGGAGATGTGGTGAGCTCACTGGGTCAGAGCAGGGGCCGGGCAGACCTTGTCACGGTTGGCAGGATAACCAGCTTTGGGCTATTTGGGGAAGATAGCAATCCATCGCAGGTTAGTGGGCAGTTTGGGGCTTCTTCCAAGTGGCAGTCTTGTTGGGCTTATGAGAGGGACAGTGGGGACTTCCTTGCTACATGCGGACTGCAACATTCCAACTCCAGCGCTACTGGTTGGTTCCGGGAACCCCACCACACAGCACATTCAAGCCAGGGGGTGCTGGGGAGACAGGGACCCCTTAGGGAGTCCTCTGCCACACCTGTCCGAAAAGGGGCAGTAGCCTGGTGTTCGGCAGATTGTGCAAGTACTTTCCCGGAAGTATCAAAAATGTGTTGACGGAACCCTGGGCCAAGTACAGGACATCAAAACCAGAACTGAGCCTCTGGAACCCTTCCAGGGGCACATCCCTGTGGGCACCCTAGACAAGGGTGGATTTTTTTTCCCTCCTCTCTGTACCTCCTTCCCCTTTCTCTTTTCTTCTTTCTTAAATCCTTACCCCTCCCCCTGCCTCCCTCCCTCTTCTCTTCTCTTCTCTTCTCTCCCCTCCAGGAGTTTGGATAAAAACGGGGGAGGGGTGAATTTCTTCTCCACCCTCAGGGTCTGTGCCTACTGCGCCTCCTCCCAGGGACCCCCACTGCCCTGTTCTCTGGGCTCTGCATCCCGCCAGGACAGCCTTTTCCAAACTCTAGGGCTCAGGCTCTTCCTGGGGCCAGGGCAGACCACCCGCTCCAACCCTGGGCGCCCCGCGAGTCTCCCGGGCTTACCTGCGAGCTGCGCGGCCAGGAGGAGCCAGAGCCCCGGCTGCATCTTGGCACGCCCCGGGGACACCTGGTCCCAGCAGCACGCTGCTGAGACAGTCCAGGCTGGCAGTGGGTGGGGAGCGGGGCGGGGCAGCTGGGGTGGGTTGAGGGAGGAGGGGTGGGAAGGACAGGACCGGGCGGGGGAGGGGAGGGAGTCCGGTGTGAGGTTGGCAAGCTCTGCTCCCTCATTCTCCCCGCATTTCCAAGGTCTCGGATGCGTTTTCAAAGAGCACGCTAGGACCTTCCACTTTGCTTTCCAGGGAGGAGGTGACACTGCTGTCCAGCGCCAAGCAATGGCACGTATGTGATCGTGTCCTGCCCTGGGAGAGTCAGGACTCCCTGGGACAGTTGAGGCCACTGAGGCTCAGAGAAGTCAGGATCCTCAAGATCCCACAGACGTGAAGGGTGGGGCTGGACCCTAATTGTGGTCACTCTTTTCTCTTCCGTCTTGCGTCCGCCTACTCCTCCCTCTGCCTTTGTTTTGTTTTGTTTTAAACTTCTTTTCTTTTGGAGAGGCCCTCCGGCTCAGTGGTGCCTAGAGTGACCAAGACTGAGGCCTTGCCCTGAGAAGACATGAGCAGACATTTCTCTGAAGAAGATGTACAAATAGCCAACAGACACATGAAAAAAAATATATCATATCACTCAGCATCAGGGAAATACAGATCAAAACCAGTGAGATACCACATCACACTGGTCAGAATGGCTAAAATGAACAAGTCAGGAAATGACAGATGTTGACAAGGATGCAGAGAAAGGGGAACCCTCTTACACTGTTGGTGGGAATGCAAGCTTGTGTAGCCACTCTGGAAGACAGTACAGAGATTCCTCAAAAAGTTAAAAATAGAGTTACCCTACCACCCAGCAATTGCACTACTGGGTATCTACCCCAAAGATACAAATGTAGTGATCTGGGACGCCTGGGTGGCTCAGTTGGTTGGACGACTGCCTTCGGCTCAGGTCATGATCCTGGAGTCCCGGGATCGAGTCCCGCATCGGGCTCCCGGCTCCGCGGGGAGTCTGCTTCTCTCTCTGACCTTCTCCTCACTCATGCTCTCTCTCACTGTCTCTCTCTCAAATAAATAAATAAAAATCTTAAAAACAACAACAAAAAAAAAAACAAATGTAGTGATCCAAAGGGGCACATGCTCCCAAATGTTTATAGCAGCATGTCCACAATAGCCAAACTATGGAAAGTGCCCAGATGTCCATCAGCAGATGAATGGATAAGGAAGATGTGGTGTATATACATACATACATACACGCACAATGGAATATTATTCAGCCATCAAAAAAATGAAATCTTGCCATTTGCAACGATGTGGCTGGAACTAGAGGGTATTATGTTAAGCAAAATAAGCCAGTTAGAGAAAGACAAGTACCATAATATTTCACTCGTATGTAGAATTTAAGAAACAAAACAGATGAACTTAGGGGAAGGAAGGGAAAAATAAGATAAGATGAAAACCGAGAGGGAGACAAACTGTAAGTAAGAGATGCTGAACTGTAGGAAGCAAAATGAGGGTTGCTGGAAGGGGGGATGGGGTAACTGGGTGATGGGCATTAAGGAGGGCACGTGTTGTGATGAGCACTGGGTGTTCTATGCAACTGATGAAATCACTAAATTCTACCTCTGAAACTAATTAAAAAACAACAACAACAACAACACTCAGACCTTGCCCTAAAGGGCGCACCCTTGTGAAGGAGGAAGGGCTGCTCCTACAGCCCAGCCACAGGCCAGAGTCTCCCTCAAAATTCTTCTCGTTTCCATGAGCAAGTGTGAGGCTGAGCACACACAAGGCAGACAGCCCTGGTGTCTAGTGTAAGCTTTTTTTCCTCCTTAATTGAAGTGAAATTCACATAACATAAGGTTAACCATTTTAAAGGGTACCATCCAGTGGTCTTTAGTACATTCACATTGACATGCAACCAGCGCCTACTTCTATCTAGCTCTAAAACATTTTTGTCTCCCCAAAAGAAATCTCTGTACCCATTATGTAGTCACGTTATACTTCCCCCCTCCCCAAATCTTAACCTGGTCTCTAAGGATTTACCTATTCAGACATCTCATATAAATGGAATCATACAATATGTGGCTTTTGGTGTCTGGCTTCCTTCACTTAGCATAACGTTTTTGAGGTTCATCCATGCTTTGGCATGTATCAGTACTTCATTCCTTTCTATAGTTGTAGTATTCTGCTGTATGTATATAAGATGATTTGTTTATAGAGTCACCTATTACTGGACATTACTGGACATTTGGGTTATTTGTACTTTGGGCTGTTGTGAATAAGACTGCTATAAATATTCTTGTACAAATACACATTTGAGTACTTGTTTTCAATTCTCTCCAGTATATACGTAGGGGTGTAATTGCTCTGTTGTATGGTATTCCTATGTTTAACTTTTTGAGGAACTGCCCAACTGTTTTCCATGGATCTGCTCCATATTACATCCCTACCAATAATGGATGAGGGCTCTAATTTCCCACATCCTCACTGACACTTGTTACTTTTTTTTTTTTTTAATATATCCCTCTTAGTGGCTGTGATGTGATATCTCATTGTGGTTTTAATTTGCATTTCCCAAATGATTAACATTAGACATCTTTTCATGTGTTTATTGGCCATTTGTATCTCTTCTTTGTGTGGCTATTCAAATTCTTTACTCATTTAAAAAATTGGGTTGCCTTCTTGTTATTGAGTTATAAAAGCTCTTTATATATTTTAGATACTAGACCCTTCTCTGATATACGATTTGCAAATATTTTCTCTTGTACTTTTGGTTGTCTTTTCCCTTTTAATGTCCTTTAATGCACAAAACTTTTTAATTTTGATGAAGTTCCATTTAGGTATTTTTTCTTTTGCTGTTCATGCTTTTGGGGTCATATCTCAGAATCCATTGCCAAATCCAAGGTCATACATATTTACTTTGATGTGTCCTCCTAAGAGTTTTATAATTTTAGCTTTTATATTTCCATTGCTGATCCACTTTGAGTTTGTTTTCATATGGTGTGAGGTAGGGATCCAACTTCATTCGCCAGCAGAACACTGTTTTGATCGCTGTGATGGGATGGTTAATTTTATGTCACCATGGCTAGGCCACAGATGCCCAGGTTTCTGATTAAACTATTTCTGGGTGTGCCTGTGACGTTCTTTCTGGAAGAGATTAACATTTGAATTGGTGTACTGAGTAAAGTCAACGCCTTTCCCAATATGGGTGAGTATCCTCCAATTCACTGAGGGCCTGAATAAAACAAAAAGGTGGAGGAAAGTTAGATTTGCCCTCCCTCTGCCTATCTGCTTGAGCTGGGACACCTGTCTTCTCTTGCCCTCCACACTCCTTGTTCTCTGACCTTTGAACTTGGACTGGAATTTACATCAGTGGCCCTTAGGCTCGAGGTCTTCAAACAACACTGTCAGCTCTCCTGGGTATCCAACTTGCAGATAACATTTCACAGGACTTCTCAGTCTCCATAATTCCATAAGCCAAAACCTTATAAGACAGTATATATATATATATATATATATATACTCACACACACATGTATATATGGGTGTATATATTTATCAGGTATCCTATTTTATATATATATATATATATATATATATATATATATATATATATATCTCCTGTTGATTCTATCTCTGTGGAGATACTACATGTAACTTTCTAATAAATTTTAAAATCAGGAAGTGTGAAAAAAAATTGGGAAGTGTGAGTTATTCAACTTCTTTCTTCTTTTTAAATTTTTTTATGGGTACCATAGTCACTTAAACGGATGCCTTTGGCTCAGGTCATGATCCCAGGGTCCTGGGATCAAGTCCTGCATAGGGCTCCCTGCTCAGGGGGTAATCTGCTTCTACCCCTGCCCCTCCCCACGGCTCTGATCTCTCTCGCTCTCAAACTAAATAAAATCTTTAAAAAAAAAATGTTGTTTCGGGACGCCTGGGTGGCTCAGTTGGTTAAGCAGCTGCCTTCGGCTCAGGTCATGATCCCAGCGTCCTGGGATCGAGTCCCACATCGGGCTCCTTGCTTGGCGGGGAGCCTGCTTCTCCCTCTGCCTCTGCCTGCCATTCTGTCTGCCTGTGCTCGCTCTCTCTCTCTCTCTGACAAATAAATAAATAAAATCTTTAAAAAAAAAATGTTGTTTTAACTATTTAGGGCCCCTTATATTTTCATATGAATTGGAGAATCATCTTTTCCATTTCTGCAAAAAAGCCCATTGGAATTTTGATGGGATTACATTTAACTTGTAGATTGCTTGGGCTAGTTTTGTCATCTTAACAACATTAAGTTTTACAATCCACGAACACAGGATGTCTTTCCATTCATTTGAATCTTCTTTAATTTCCTTCAGCAGCATTTTTTAGTTTGCAATATAATATAGTTTGCAGTATAATCTTTGACCTTCTTGGTTAAATTTATTCTTTGGTATTTTTGGAGAGGTTTCTATTATAAATGAAATTCTAAAAAATTTTCCTTTTTAGATTGTTCACTGCTGGGGTATAGAAACACAACTGATTTTTGTGTGTTGTGTTTGTACCCTGCAACTTTGCTGATTTTATTAGCTCTAGCAGTTTTGTGGCGGTTTTTGTAGATTGAGATTTTTCTATATATAGGATCATGCCATGTGGGAGTAGAGATAGTTTTATTTTTTTCTTTCCAATATGGATGCGTTTAATTCTTTTTCTTTAATTGTTCTGGTAAAACTAGCAATATGTTATTGAATAAGAGTGATGAGAGTAGGTATCTGTATCTCTTTGCTGATCTTAGAGAAGATTTTAGTCTTCTATCATTGAACATGATGTTAACTATGACTTTTCATAAGTGTATTTTATCATGTTGAGGAAGTCCCATCTATTGTCAGTTTTCTGAGTATTTTTTACCATGAAAGGGTATTGGATTTCATCAAATGCTTTTTCTGCTTCTACTGAGGCTTTTTTCATTTTGTTCTATTAATACAGTATATTGATTGATTTATGTCGAACAAACCTTGCATTCCTGGAGGGGGGTCTCACTCCTTGCACTGAATAGAGACTTTCTTCTTGTAGGGCATATAGGGGGAAAGAGAACAAAAGTGAGT